AAATGCTATCACACTTTTTACTGAAATACAAACAGGTAGTTTACTATGAAGCAAGGCTATTATAAATATGAAAGACTTGTATGAAAGTCTATTTTATTTAAAAATTGTATTTTAAAAAATCTCACTATATACACGATTCTATCAATTTAAAACAAAAGTGTTAAATATTAATATAATATTAATAGATATTTTATATTTATGTATTTTGTGTGTGTATACATACAATTTTAATTAAACATACGGAAAATAAAATTATTATATACATAATTATTGTCAGAATGTATGCCAGTTTTATTTTATCTATTAAAAAATATAATAAAATATATTTAATATTCTATAAATGTCTTTGTAGTAATACATATATATATATATATATATATAATTTTAATAAAACACTGAAAATAAAATGATGTATGATTCTTGTCAGAATATATACCAGTGTGATTTTATCTATTACATACAAGCAAAAATATATATTATTTTTTTTAATATTGTATAAATATTTTTAATTTTGTATTTTTTGTAATATTATATTTATATAAATATTATAAAAATATAAAATGTATATTTTAAATGTTAAATATTAATAAAAAGTATGAAACATTGTGACAACAGCATCTACTGGCACCTGAATGACCCTTTGAAAACCCACAGCAGGAAATCTGTGTAGGCATTGTTTGACGATACAACACATAGTACAGTAATTACAGCATTTGTTTTGGAATGAGTTTACCCTTAATGCGTATGCCATTTAAAACATTACTGTCCCGAATTTCTGTTACGTAATTTTAGTTCTCCTTTCTCCAAACAGACTCTCACACCCGGAACATAATTGCTGTCTTTCTCTCCTCTTCAGACCTCTGACTGCTGAGTTCAGGAGTGTTTCCCCGTGCCCAGGCCTCGTGCCAATCCGATGCCAATCTGACATGCAAATGAGCTCCTGGCTTCTGCTGTGGTGTCATTTTATGGCAGCCCCTGCACCCATCACTCCCAGAATGCACTGCTTCCCACACCGCCTCTGCTCCTTAAAGCATCTAATTAAAAGAGCAGATCCCTCTGCCTCACTCCTCCCCTCCCCAGTCTCTCACACCATTCCACAAGAGAAATGATTATTAGGAATTTAATAGGGAGAGTTTTGTGTCCCAGGCCATCTGTGTCCCGGAGAAGGCTGGAAATGTAGGGAGGGTTGACGATGTGACTAGAGCTGTCCTTTTTTCCCCTCTCTCTTTCTCTCTCTCTTTGGGAATTATTATTCACTTCTGCAGCCAAAGTTTAAGGTGGTAAATCACCATTGTGGGGACAGAGCATTTTTCACTTTTAATCACCCAGATTATTTCTAACAGGCTATTTATTTTAGGCAATGCAGACTCAGAGGGATTGTGCCCTTTAACCATTCAAGACACTGTTTGTCCATTTAAATCATTGCTATTTATCAGGACTGGAATTCTGTAACTCTTCATTTCATTGTATTCAATCAATTAATGAAGCAAATAAACAATTTAAATTAATTTCTCAAACTCACAAATGTTTTCATCCTCACTGATCAAATTTTCCAAGACTTATGTAGTGAATTTGGAAGAGATTATGTTATTGCCATGGAATGATAAAAATATGATAAGTACATAAATTAATTAATTAATTTTAATTAATAATAAAAACACATTTTATGCTAAAAATACATTTTTGTATTTAATTTACTAATGTCTATCTATTTAGTAAATATCTATCTATCTATCTATCTATCTGTCTATACTTATCTATCTATCTATCTATCTATCTATCGTTCTGTCTTTCTATACTTTATCTATCTATCTATCTATCTATCTATCTATCTATCTATCATTATAAAAGTAGATGTATAAACAATTTCAAGAAATTTAACAAACAAGTACAAAGAAATGGCAAATAATGCATTGAATTAAACATGACATTTTAAAGTAGAAAAACTGAAATATTATTTTCATGTAAAACATACTCCAATAACCTTAGCTTACATTGCACCTCATGATTTGTGGCATATACTGTACATTGTAATGTGTTGTAAATGCAATTCATATTTACTTGTGGCATATTGACAATTAAGCCATGGGGTGCAATTATAAGCCACTCGTTAATTGATTCACTTAGAGTAAGTTGATTGTCTGTGTTTATGTATATGCATGCATTATGAATAGCATTTTAATATGGGTCGCATGGACTCATAAAGAACAGATATGAATGTGAAAACTGTGGCCATATAAAAGCCAGACTGACGCCCCCGGCTCTGCCACCCACACAGAATATGCCATATGCTGCTATACTTTACCTCTATAGACTCCGTGAGAGAGAGAGAGAGAGAGAGAAAGAGGGCACAATCGTGGTTAACCTCTCAGTCAAAGGAGAGCAAATGCATGCCAACCATTCAGACCTTCACCCCTGAGACTGTTTGCCTGCAGACCTCTCTCTCTCTCACACACACACACACACACACACACTCCTCCTGTCAGGGAGCAGCTGTCAGAGGCTGACTGAAGGAGAGGATGAGTGTGAGAGAAAGGATGGTGTCATTGGCCTGGCCTGTTTCCAGCTCCAGAGATTCACATGTCAAACACAGAGACACATTTTCACACTCAGCAACAGAGCAGGACAAGATGATGTCATAGAGGAGCAAAAACCGGCATGGAGTTCATTTACCTTCACTGCAAATGTATGAATAGTTATGCATTTTATTTTGCTTTATTTATGAATTGTATTTAATTTTAGATTTTATTTGACATCCAAATATACAACGATGTTTAAGTTAGCTATAAATTGAATGTGATCTTCGCTACTTCCGCGTATATTTTATCCCTGACTGAATACAAATATTTTCCCCCTAAATACTCACATATGTAGGCCTACACCGTCATGTTACAATTTGAATGCATGTCAATTTTAACCTGTAGGCTATAGAGAAACGTTTAAAGGCTGTAAGTCTCAGTGACAAACATACAGCGGACAGATTAGAGTTAGACTAGACAGACATGCATCTGCTATCAGCGGCTCAGGTGCAGATGAATGAATGGTGTTTATATTGGATTTTTGGATTTCTTTGTTTATGTGAAAAAATAACAAATATTTGCAATTGCTATTTTATCTAATACATATTTTAATCGTCGGACACGTATAAATACCGATTTGTGGGGCGTTTACTGACAACAAACTCTGAAGTCAGTCCTGTCTGACCTCAACTATTCGTTTGACTCCTAAAAAAATCACTTTAATCATTTATTGTTGTTGTTGTTATTATTATTATTAAGAAGAGGAAGAAGAAAGATACTATAAAGAAGAAAAATAACGAGAAGAAGAAAATCAGAAGTCTTGGTTCCTTGATCGAATTTCGTCTTTTCTTTTTACAATCTGAGACACAAACTTGGAACAGGCTATATAATAATAATAATAATTATTAAACCATTTAATAAGTGCTAAATTAATACTCCAAAAAAATATAAAACTACATTCCAACTGTCATCTCCGAGACGTGTTATCCGACATCTGAATGTACCTATACATACAAAAACTATAAACTGTAAATGTGTAAATTCGTTAGATGTTTTATTTAATAATAATAATAATTAAAACAAATTATTACAGTCCGTTATTTAGATAACATACATTAATAATCTTGTAAAAGGTCATAATGAATTCAACATGTTCATGCTGAAACCCCAATGGAGCACTTATATCCAAATATGAATAAACATAAGGTCAAATCCAAACAACTGCTAATTGAATATTTATTATTTCAAGTTTTTTGCTTTTTCCTTAACTCTCACAAAATCATTTCAAACAATATAAGTGTATTTCGATCAGATTGTCAGGTGTCAGACTCATTTGTGCTGTAGAGAATTTATCAAGCGTATATAGCCTATCAGAAATATATCCTTGTCAGTTCTTGGAGAATTTTAAGGAATTATTTAGTGCTGATATAAAGTTCACGATTTACCAAACGTGTGCGGTCACGGTAATATTTAGAATGAGCAATTTTTATGGGTTTTTTTAAAAACTTTTTACATTTATTTCCTGTTATTAAATGACCTCAGTCATCAGATACGAATCTGATAACTTAATAATAAATAATACATTTCATATTGCAAGACATAGCCTACATGTCGAGACTGAAGTCTGATGCCGTAGCATTTTTTTTTTCACTGAACTGTTGATTTAATACGTTAATGTCTAGTATTTTCAAATATTAATCATATTAATTTTCATCTTTCATTTTACTTCCTCAAGAAAGAGCATGAACACAGTTGATCACATTCAAGATTTATTTCGACAAGTTGATCGAAGTGAGCTCCTCAAGTTCACATCATTCACAAAACCCGACGCTCCTCAGAGAACAAACCAAATAAATAGGGGGAAAAAACATTTTACATAGCAAAATCACAATAGTTTCCTTAATTGTTGACATTACGCGGAATCAGTCAGAATGGTGAATATCTAGAGTTCAAAGACAAAGAAGTCTAACGAATAGTAAAATTCACACAATAAGGCTATTTACATGTCTGCACGGTAATATATTTGTCATACTGCCTTGCATAGTTCCATTATTGCTATCGTGATTTTGTGTTTCATGTAACACACGAATAAATCCATTTGCACAGGATATGAGACAAGTGTTGTTGTTTGAAAAGCCTTAGAATTTAATTTCCATCTTCTTTTTATCAATTGATTGTAACAGGCCAACCACGATGCATGAGAAAAATTGTAACAATGCATGAGCAAAAATAAAGGTGCTTCACGATGCCATAGAAGAACCTGTTTTGTCTAAATGGTTCCATAAAGAGCCTTTAACACCTGAAGAACCTTTCTGTTTCACAAAATGTTCTTTATGGCGGAAGAAGATTCTTCAGATTATAAAAGCTAAGAAAAAGATGGTTCTTTAAAGAACCTTTGATTGAATGCTTCTTTGTGGAACCAAAAATGGCTCTTCTGTGGCATCGCTGTGTAGAACCTCTTAAGCACCTTTATTTTTAAGAGTCTATGATGTCTGAAATAAATCGAATGGAGTTTTTTTTCAATATCGTGTGTCGAAATCAAACGAAAACAATCAGCAACAAGCACCAATTAATTAACAGATTAGTGTAGCTGGCATCCAACCCCCATGCTCGCTTTTAATTATGGAAACCCGTATTTAATTCGTCCTGGCTCTGGAACGATTGGCTGCGGGGATGTAAGTCGTACGGAAAATGGCTGTCTGGGGAAACGCGGTACATGGAGCCCCGACCGGGAACGTTACAGTATCTCATCCCATAATGGCAGTTCTTACTGTACTCGACTTGGTCCTCGTGCTTTTTAAGCGAGAAAATCCCGTTGTAATTAATCGGGGGACTCATTTGGCCGTCAAAATGAGGGCTGCTGTTCTCTGGAGAGGCGCTGTCGTAGTAGGACTCATAGGACGCGTAATAGTTGTACGGGCGGAACGGCTTGACGCCGTCGCGGGGCCCAGAGCTGAGGCCGGTGGGCGTGGCCATCTCCGCGTTAGGATACCCGTACAGAGAATCGTACTGATGAGGCCTGCCAGAGAACGACACGTCCCCGTTGTGATCCGTGAGGAAATTTCTGGCGTTCAGCTGCAGGCAACCGGCAACCAAGTTAGTAGTAGGCTGTGACAAGCCCTTACACAGGGTCTGCACGAACGCCAGCAGGTCGGGTCTCTTTCCCGCGCTCAGAGTCTCAGATAGAGCCCATATGTAATTCTTGGCCAGCCTCAGCGTCTCGATCTTGGAGAGTTTTTGCGTCTTGGAGTAGCACGGCACGACTTTGCGCAGGCTCTCCAGCGCGTCGTTGAGGCCGTGCATGCGGCTGCGCTCGCGCGTGTTCGCTTCTTGCCGACGCAGTTTGACACGGTCGGTGCGACCGTCGGAGAATTTCTTTTTACGCGGACCTTTCTTCTTAGGGACACCGTCCTCGTCCTCCTCTCTCTCCTCCTCTTCTCTGTCAGTGTTGTCGTCCTCTGTCTCCTTGAGCTCGGCGCTGCTGAGTGTCTCTTGACGAGTGAAGGTGGCACCAAACTGAGAGTCGCGCATCATGTCTGGGTCTTTAAATGGTACGGTTAGCATCGTCCCTGCTTAACGACAAAATCAACAACAAAATAAAGCAGACATGACGTCAATTGCCCATGGGTCACATAAAGAATTTCAGCATTTTCCTTTTTTTATATAGTGGCTTTGGATGTATGACTAAAGAAAGTCTGTGATTAGCATTACTTGAAGAGACTTGAACGTTTTGCTCAACAATACACTCTAAAAAATGCTGGGTTAAATACAACCCAGTGCTGGGTAAAATAGGGACAAACCCAGCAATTGGGTTGTTTTGACCCAGCGGTTTGGTTAAATGTTTAACCCAACCTCCTGGGTAGTAACCCAACCGCTGGGTCAAAACAACCCAATTGCTGGGTTTGTCCCTATTTTACCCAGCACTGGGTTGTATTTAACCCAGCATTTTTTAGAGTGTAATGTGATATTTTAAGCTGCTGTTGTTTTTTTATCTTAAGAAATTCATAAAACCAAAACGAGACTATCTTAGTTTATGAAAATGTTTCAAAATACGTTTCAGACTTGAATATTTATCTGTTACGGATTCATTTATAAATTTACCCCTAACCTGTATAAATAGGCTAAGTTGCAAGTAAAAAGAGTGCCATTTATTTACAATCTATCCCACTGTATTTTGTGCATTATTGTGGTACTCAAACTAAATGGTCATCCCAAAATATATGCTTTTAAACATTGTAATTTAACATGTAAACATTTTCATTCAAAACCGATAAATAAAAGTTAGCACGTGCAGAAAAACTGTCAAAAACACAGAACGTGTTTGTCATTGAAATCTAGGCCTACATGCTATTTCTTTTTAATCGCTGATGGTTTCTAATACACATGCATTGAAAAATGTTTAATATACCCCGTCTGGTCGTATATGATGTTTCTAGTTTTTATTTTTAATCATAGCCTATGCATAAATCGTATGTGGATGTTATACATCAAATCAAACGAGAACCTGCTGATTCGGAAGACACATATTGTGGTTTTAACATCCATTAATTAACATGACCGCATATCAAATACGTGAAATTGTATCAGTCAACTCAAAATTAGTTTTTGTTAAGTAAATGCATTTTACACAACGCATTACATTTTCTATTATCATCTCAGGAGGGTGGTGGTCATGTATATTGATTTCATGTAGCTCATTTCTAATTGGTTATACTGGCCGATGTTACTCCTTACACAGACTAACAACAATTACAAAATAGCAAGGACGAACTCAAAACCATGCCACAGTGCATTGTTTGCACGGCAGAAAAGACTGGAGCTATGCGCGTGACTGTTTAACACAATAAACACAACAACAACACATGCATGCCCAAACTGATTCTCTAAAGCAGACTGGTTTTCCATGGCTCACCTGTTTCTTTCAGTGTTCAGCTCGCATGTTCGGATTCCTCGCGACGCGCAGAGCTGCCTCCCATGTGCTTGATGTGAAGCTGTAAGAATTCCTTTAATCTCCCTCTCTCTCTCTCTCTTTCACAGAGAAATGACACTCATGCCAGGCACCAGCGCTGGTACCCATGCCATCTGCCACTGACGTTTTGTTGGTCACGTGACGCGGTCCCTGGGGACCTTCATTCGGCTCTCATCATCTGGTGCGCGCGGTAATGGGCACCGGGAGGCTCTCATTTACTGTCAGAAAACTCCCGAGTTAAAAAAAGAGAGATTAATGCCAGTTCTGTTGCGGCAATAGCAGTGTAGAGACGGCTAAATTATTTAGACTTTAAAGCGAAGCGTGTATTTGATTATAGGGCGACGGATGCTGCAGGCAAGAGCAAATCAGTTCACCAATGCGTGTTATAGAGTCGTCTGATGGATAATAAATGTTCAGATATTACATAAAATCTCTGCACACTTACATATGAATAACAGCCTGCGTGCATATACATGTTGAGGAGCATTCAGTTGGTAAATAGAGCAAAGAATGAATTCTGTCATGATGTATCGCATATATTCAGTCAAACTCTCACTTAACAGTGATGGTATAGGTAATTATGCTATTTAGGTATTTCAAAGAGAACGGTGCTGGTGGATATATTGCAAGAAGGTTTTGAGTCTAAAGTCCAATTTGGATCATTTATGTAAATTCTGTCTTCCAAATTAAAATTCATATTTTTGCCATATTTATTGGGTGAACAAGTGAACACAATCAAACTACACTGAGAGACAAGAATCATATGATGAAGGCAGGTTTAAATGAAATTATAAATTATGTTCTCAGTATAAGTTTTTTTTTTAGGCAAGCGGTCACGTGTGTTTTAAATGTTACAGATTTATTGGCCAAAAATGATGGTTTCATACAGTGTTTTTATTTTATTTTATTATTTTTATCTTCTTTTTTAATGTTACTGTTGAGTTTTTTGCTGTTTAATGTATTGCTTTGTCTTTCACAATTGTTTAAAATGTTATAAATTCAGTACACGTTTTCTTTTCTTTTATCTGTGTCAGATTGGGGCAAGTTGTCACATGCGTTAAATGTTATGAACTCATTGGTTTCATACAATATGTTTTTTAATTAATTTTTTTTCTTTTTATTTAATAAAAAAAAAAAAAAAAGGCTACCTTTGGCTTTTTTTTTGTGCTATTTTATGTAAGGTTTTGTCTCTTATAATTGTTTTATTGTTTTAAATATTAGAAATTCTGTATGAAAACATTATTTATTCAAAAATAATGTTTTTATTCAGTATATTTATTTTTATTGATTGATTTATATATATATATATATATATATATATATATTTGCTTTATTATTTTAAAATGTTTATTTGATATTTTTGCTGTTTATTTATTTATTTATTTTTGAGAATGCAAACGGTGTGTGACAACATGCCCCAGTATTGTGCCAATTCATATCATTTAAAAAAAAAAAACATTATTATTATTATTATTATTAAATATAGTAGTATAAAAAATATAGTAGAAATGTCCAATACACTTGTAGCTTTTGTGTAAGTTTTTTTTTTTTTTTTTTTTTTTTTTTTTTTTTTTAAAAAAAAAAAAAAAAAAAGGCTACCTTTGGCTTTTTTTTTGTGCTATTTTATGTAAGGTTTTGTCTCTTATAATTGTTTTATTGTTTTAAATATTAGAAATTCTGTATGAAAACATTATTTATTCAAAAATAATGTTTTTATTCAGTATATTTATTTTTATTGATTGATTTATATATATATATATATATATATATATATATTTGCTTTA